CCTCCCACCACCTCCTCCAGGTGCCCGCATTCCCGCCCTTCACCGCGGCCTTTCAAGCGGAGTCTTTCTCCAAGGATAGGCCTCTGACTGGGGTGGGCGAGGGTAGCGTCTTCCCAAGGAAGGGGCTCCCCTCGAGCGCCCGGCGTTCACGGGGAAGAGCCACACCGCACTTCCTACAGCCGCCGAGCCGAGCGCCCCTCGGCTCTCTCCGCCCCCCCTACCCCCCCGCCCCGAAACGACCGGTTACCTAGGCAAAGCCTCAGAGCCTGGAAACACGTTGCTCCGCTCCCGCTCGCGGCCGCCGCGGCCGGGAGCACGGAGCCTCGGGGTTGTAAATTAGGAAGAAATAACTACCTCTGTCAAAGCCCCTTTCTTTCTCGTGGGCAGACGAAAGGAACACCCCCGTGTTCCCCTCCCCGTGGTGAAGTGTGTGAAGGAAACCGTGAAACGCACCATTGTGACCGGGGCTCCTCCACGGAGTTTCCAACCCTGGGGAGCGGGGGCGGAGGTTGGGCGGGGGCAGGAGGAGTGGAGAAGAGACCGACAGAAAGGCAGATACAGAGATTCTCAGAAAGACAGAGGGAGAGGAGACAAACCGCGGGGGAGAATTTCTGCGAGCGCACGGTCCCAGGGAAGCGGGGGTGGGGGTGCGGGGGCAGGGAGCGGGTGTGGAGGCTGCTGTGGCCTAAGAGGTCTTTGATATTCACATTACGAGCGTCTTGCTCGGATAAGAGAACTCGAATAAACTCAAACTTCATTCATTGTGCTCAGCAGCCGCGTTAGGCAGCTGTTCCTTTCCCTAGCTCAGTTCTATAAAATATTTCTCCGTCGTGGGAAAAGAAGATTCAGGATTGGATTCGCGATGAAATGACTGAAGGGCGCCCTGTACCTCTCTCCTGGCACCCTAGGGCTCTGGGATAATAGCCCGAGATTTCTGATTACCCAACTCCTTGCAGCTCTTCCCTCTGGAGAATCCGTGGGCATAATAAATAAATGACAATCTCCAAGAACGTTCTTTGGAACGAAGGGACAAATGCTTTCTCCCTCACGACTGACCCAAGCTTCCAACAGGTTCGAGAGGTGCCTTTGGAAGTCAGCCTCCGCAGGCTGCGCCCGCTTGACCGCTCTCCTCTCACCACCGAGAACTTTCATTTCTATGAAGAGTAAAACACTACGAGCAACTTCTCCAAAAGCGCGAGTTCTGTCAGTTAAGAGTAAAACACGCCTCTCCCATACCGACTCAAGGCCCGGAGGAGAGGGACACCGTTCCCACGCGTGTCGGGGCACTGGGGTCGGCAATTACACCCGATTACCTCCGAAGGGAAAAGTGTAAACTGGCAAGTCGGCGACGCCAGGCAGACGTGCCTGGTGGAGCCCCAGGCTCATTTCAATACAATAAGCCACATTCCTACAATTACGCCCTCTTTCCTGAGATCCTCGGAGCGCCGCTGCAAACTCCGGCCGCTGCTGACCAGGCCCCTTCCCTCCCAAGCTTCCTCCCAGTCAACCGTCTCGGAGTCACCATTAGGCATATTAACTTGGACCCACCGGAGCCCCTATTTTCAATCCTAGTTAAAAGGCAGGAAAATTACTGCCGTTCATCACCGGAGCTGCAACTCCCTGCCGCTGCCGCCGCCTAGAGCATCATTACCATGACAACTAGAGCCGAAATACCCTGAATTACATCGCTGGAGCTGCTACTGCACAAATCCCGGTCCTCCTCTTTGTTAGAGGCTTTTCGCCTCTTTGGGTAGGGAGAGGAATCCCACAAGCTCCAGAGATCCCCGCAGGCCCGCTACGGGGGAAAAGTTTCAGATCAGAACCCACCGGCGACTCCGCGAGCAAAGCCTGAGCGAGGAGGCGAGGGGGGAAAACCCCACACTCAAAGTTGTCAATTTCAGAAGCTAAGCTTCCCAGCGCGCCAACTTTTTAGCAAGTCCCCCTATTAACTGAGCGAATCTCATACGTACTTGAGTGCTGTGGCGGTTCCGTCTTTAGAGCGAGTTTCTAGAAAGCTGCCCCGAAATCTGCACTGGGGGCGGCGGGGGGGGGTGGGAGTCACAGTTGCTGTCCCGGAAGGGCTGCGGTGTAGAAGTCCAGCGGCTCCCAGAGGCAGTGAGCTGCTGGCAGGGGATGCTGCGATCCCGATTCATGGGAGAGCGCCGCCGAGGGGTTCCGCGGGCGTCCTGGCTCGGGCCGCGACCAGGGGGTAGGATGCCGCTTCTGTTCCCACCTCCACAGCCACCGCCGGCGCTGTCAGCGTTGCAAAGTGAGACCGGGAGGGGCGTCCGCCTGCCGCGCAGCGCTGCACCCGCGAGGGCGCAGGGTGAGAGGGGTGTGAGCGCGCGGGAGAGAGTGGAGTGTGTGTGAGGAGCGTGTGTGCGCGCGTGTGTCTGTGTGTGCGAGTGAGGGAGCGGGTGTGAGCTTGTCTGTGTGTGGGGAGTGGAGGAGGAGCAGGAGCTGGAGGGGTGGGGGGCGGGAGGCAGGAGACTCCGCTCTCCCGGCTGCGCGTTCGCTCTCTCTCTCGGCACGTCATTTATGCCACAGGAGCCCTAGCGGCCTCTCCATAGAGTGCCTGGAATGCGAGACGTCAATGTGACGCCATGGGACGCTACGTCACCCTCCTCCTCCCTCCCCTGGCCCAGCCGGTTCCGCGTGTGCGAGGGAGGGGGTGTGTGTGCATGTGTGCGCGCGCGCGCGCGTTCCCCGGCCATTTGCAGGGTAGCGCAATGGAAACTATGCCGCGCGGCCAGTCCCGGCCCGGGGGCCTTTCGGACCCGCGCTGCCAACCCGTTTGCAACCGCGCTGCTTGCCCGGGCCCTATTCTGTAAGAGGGTGCAGCGGCCCGCCCGCGGGTCAGGCGGGACCGCCCAGCTGTCAGACTCGGGTGGAGTAGAGTTGGAGGAGTGCTACTGGCGCGCCTCCGAGGCTGCCCCGAGGCAGGGAGCCAGGGCGAGGGGGTAAGAGAGAGGACAGCTCTTCCGAAAGGGAAGGCTCAGCCAGCCAGCTTCTCCGAGTGACCTGGCAGCGGGTGCAGGAGTCAGGCACCAGTCCGAAGACTCCCCGAGGTGCTGCTCTTTCCCCAAGCAACAGTTCTAAAGCTGTTTACGTCTCTCTGGCTCCCTGCGCCTAGGCTAATCTCTCTCCTCCTCCCATCATTTGCTGGGTGCGTGTTTTGCACAGGGATACCGATGGCTCTGGGAAGATAAGGTTTTATTTCTTTACACTTAAATGTGGGTTTCCTAACTGGACTTTATAACACAACTAAGTGCACATCCGTCATCCGCGCGCGCTGCAGCAGAAGCTACTTATTGTGTGTAAAACAAACACACGTGTTGAACAGCTGAGCGGGTCTGACTTGCAAATCACCCCTCTCCCATCAGAAATGTAACTCTCAGCTCGCACTTTCACTTTTTGATGGTTGTAGACGGGCCTACCCTCCCACCTCCCAAATTAAACATTTCGAAATCAGTCAACAGGATTTATTAGTCAGTCCCTCGCTACGGGATTTGCTCTGGTCTCCTGGGACACATTTGTTATGAAATGGTGAGCTGAAAGCCTGGGCGATTCTGTTAGGGAGAGCAATTTCTTCCTGGAAGTGATGAATTTAAGTGTGAATTTCTTGCTGAAAACAAAACCAAAATTTTATCAGAATTAAAGTCTCCTAGTTCCAAAGGTTGCAGCTGGGTGAAAACAACCTCTTTTAAAAATGATTTTTTTGAGAAGGAGAAAGTATTTGAGTGAAACAATGCAGACAGACATGGTCCCCATGTGGTCCGCTTGAATCAGACGTGACATTTATGTCTTTGACCTGTTACAATCTTTGCGTGTGTGTGTGGGGCGGAGCACACAACTCAGAATTAAAGGTTCGAGCTACCACAAGAAACTTGGAAACAAAACTAGAATTATACATATGCTATGGGTATATTTCTTCGCCTCCACTTCCGCTTCAGACAGGGTGGTGTGGAGAGGACCTGGAAGGGTACTACGAAAGTTGACCTAGCGGACAGGAACAGTGCCTCTGCACTGCCACGAGTTCCAATCCAGTCTCACAAAGAAGGAGGGCGCTGCTACATTGCATCCATTCAAAGGCGGGCGGGTGGGGGTAGCAGGACCTGGAGCCGCGCGGCACTGACGCACGCGAGGCGCGTGATTGACGCAGGCAATGTTACTAAATTCGGCGGTTGGCCGGGCCCCGCCGCCGCCGCGCGCGGCAGATAGCGGAGTAGGTTCCCCTCGATCACCCCCGCCCCTTCTCCATTCAGAGCAGCTCTCGGCCGGGCCGGGCCGGGCGGGGCGGGGCGGGGCGGGGCGGGGTGCGCGCGGGGCGGGGCGGGGTGCGCGCGGGGCGGGGCGGGGTGCGCGCGGCCGCGCCGGGATCCGGCCGCACCAAATATAGTCGGGCCTGGCTATTTTTAGCCGGGCCTAGGGCGCCAGCTCGCCGCGTGAGGGGGCGCCCAGACCCCGCGGGGAGTGCGGAGGGGGCGGGGGCGGAGTCGCCATCTTGGACTCGGCTCGACCCAGTCTGGTGACCGGCGACGCTGGGCCGGGCTCGGCGCAGGGGGTCGGGGTGAGTGGGTGTGAGCTGTGGGATAGAGTGGGACGCGCGGGCTGTGACTTGAGCGGACGGCGAGTCAGGGCGCGGCGCCTGCCCTCAGTGGTGGCGCGGGGGAGGGCCCGGGACGCGCGGCCCACGGGGCGTGCGCGGGTGTGGGACGGCGATCCCCGCCAGCCGGCAGGCCCGGCCGTCCAGCCACCCCGCGGCCCGGCCAGCCCCGAGTCGTGTGGGGGCGGAGCCGCCCGCGGCCACCACTTCCTGAGAGCCGGGGATACCCCTCCCGGACGTCACGGAGGAGCCGAGGCGGCGGTGGCGGCCCGGGGCTCATCTTGCACTTGCATCACGGGTGCAGCAGCAGTTGCTCTGCTCCTTTGTGGCTTTTTCCCCTGTTGAGTAACTGCTTTGTTAAATGAAAATACCATGACGGGCCAGTGTGATCACCAGCTCCAGACCTCAAAGAAAGTGAAGCTGTCAGGCAAGAAGAGGGAGACTCCCCTAGCCGGCTGCGATGGTATCTGGTGGGTGGATGTGTAGAGAAGCACTTGACAGTTTCCACGTATTACTTCTTGCCTAACTTATCACCCCCAAGAAGGTTTAAAAATACTTTTATTTCCATGCTGTAAAAATTTCTTATGTCCTGCACCCCACCCATTCCCCCTTTAATTTGAAATCGCGTGCAGAACTGGAATCACTGAAAAGAACAGTTATTAGGTACAGTTTTTAGGAAACAGAACACCTTTCAGTGAATTTGTTGAGTAAACTACATTTTTAAATGTTAGTATGTAAAAGATCCTTGCCCACTGAAGGTACTTATAAAGCTTCTAGCTAAGTTTGTTTATATGAATTGGGTTTCCTCAGTGACCGTTTCAAACCGGTTTCCTTATTTATGTTACATTAAAAAAAAAATTCCATCCCTGTCTGAATATCTCCAGGTAAAGCATTTCTCCCTTTGACTCTTTGAGTGAATGTGACTTTCTGGACGTTTATGTTGATTATATGCTTCCCTCGCCTCTTTTTCCCCTCCTCTGCCTTTTACGTCCTTTTCTTCCTGAGTATCGGGTCACCAATCTTTGTTCCTTGACTACTGTGAGGCTGAGGGCTGTTGTCTGATTGCACTGAGCCAATCAGCTGGCTTAGTACTCCTCTGGGTAGGAAGCCGGACTGACTGTTGGAGAGGTTCCAGTGGTCACTGATAAGTGGCAACATTTTTGCACTCAAATGGAAAGTCATGGAAGCAGAGACAAGGCTCTCTTACAAACTGGGACACCATCCTCTGCTTAAACCTAGGGCTGTAGTCATATGCAGTTCTTTAGGTGACCTCAAACCAAGTGAATCGTTCTCTTTTTCAAATTAATATCTATTGTTCTATACTGTTTCAAAAGTCTGATTTACTAAAAGTCAGGCATAATTTTCTGTAAGGCTTATGTAATATGACCATTTCAGTAATATAAAATACCTTTTTGATGACAAATGAAACAATACTTTATAATTAAATCTCTTCTTTTGGGAAATCAAATAGAATAAGACTATCTTAATCTGTGAAATGTGGAAAACTTAACCTGGTTTGGTCCTTTTTCTAGAAGAGGGACATTCATGTGTGGCCTAGTTTACACCCAAAGCAAAGAAAGCAGTTAGTTTCTGCTTTCATGATACTTATGGCAGCCAATCTGTTAAAAATTCTTTCTATGAAGTAACTATTACAGATTCACTTGATAATTATCTTTTGTTTTGGTTTTGTAGGTGTAGTCTGTCTGCAAGAAAGAAAGTGCTCTTTCTCTTGGAAAATAAAATATAAATTTGGGGGAAATTTATTGTGTGTGATATAAAGCAGTTACTTTAACAAAATGGGATTTAGAATTGCTTTAAAGACTCTTCGGATTAATCACTGACATAAATCTTGTTGATTTTGCTAATATGTAAAGAATGATGATGAGTCTTGCTGATACAAAAATTGGGTGAGGAAAGGTGAAATGAAAATTCCAAGCCAGAAGTTGTTACCTAAGGTGAAGATAGGAAAGAAAATTAAAAGACTTGTGTGTAAGTCCATGTTTTCCTGAATCACTATAGAAGTTCTATACTACATTTAAGATATGTATATAAAATTTGGTAGCTTGGGCTGACATTGACTTATACACTTAAATTACTGGGCTTAGGAACATGGGACAATGGTAGTAGTTTTCTGTCTGACCTACCTGCATACTATCCCTTCCTTATCAATTCTATCATTGCCAGATTATTCTTCCTAAAATACGGCTTTTGTTATATCACTCCTGGGCTCAAAAGTCTTCAGCAGCTGGATATGTCTCCAAAATAAAACCCCAAAGCCTCCACATCCTGGCCTCTTTATTTCCACAGAATTTTCCTATCCTAGTCAAACTGTTATCCTCACTTTTCTTCAGACATCCTTTTACCCTTCCACATTTGTTCATAGTTTTCCTTTTTATGGCATTCCCTTCTCTGCTTATTGAAATCTTACCCTTCCTCTAAAACTAGTTCAAGAAATGAACTCAGATTGTGCTTTAGTCTTTCATAAAGTCCTTATTTTACTGCCTTCTTTTTGTGCTCTTGTGTCCACAGCTTATTGCCCTGTTGAACTATAAGCTTCAAAAGCATGTCTCACGTATCTTTGAAATTTCTGTGGCACCTAAGTTTAACAGAGATAGTAAATATCCATAAAATATTTCCCATCTAAATTTGAATATGAAGGAGAACAGGCATAATATAAGTTAACCAGTTATATGGATTAGGATATTTTTGACATGAGTGGTTTGTTTTCTTTACCTCAACTTTTAACACTCCTGATTGAGTATAGTGCCCACCACAAGCCCAGCCAGCCACATGGTGATACAAGGAAATTGCAGCTTGGCTTGTACCTATTATAGCCGTGTAGGAAGATTTGCTATGATTTTTTTTTTTTCCCTGACAGACTTTTGGTTTGACTTTTCTACAGTCTTTCCCCCTCTATGTGTACTTTCACTTATGCTGCTTCCTCTCAATGAAGAATGGGATGCTGTAGGCTAGGAAATGTTAATATCAACTTCTTTTGGGAAAATTTCTTAAGGTTTAAAAAATTGAGAACCATGGCACCTATGTATAACCAGTTCAACACATAAATTCTTGAGTTTCTTATCCTTTCTAAGATATGTTTAAATAGATTTGTATAACACTACGTATATGCAGAAGTAAACTAGGCAAAGAGATTTTGGAATTATGATTTCTTAGAAGTTTTAGAAAAAGGCTCATGTGAATTAGAATATTAATATTTAACAAGGAAAAAGTAAATAATAGATCAGGAAAGACCTTCTGTGTTACAGAAAATTTTAGAAAAGAGTAAAAACCAGAGAAGGAAAGATTACTTAATAGTATAAGTGCTAATATTATTTTTTAATCTCATTAAATAATATTTTTCTATCCATTAATGAATAACAGGACAGGCTTGCAATCTGGTTAAAAAGATAGTTTATTTCTTAGTCCTGTTTCCCCCAGTCGTTGGTAAACTCTGGAAGGCCACAGTGATTTGGGAGAGAAAAGTTATTACGCATGTGTGATAAATTCAGGATATTATTTATGCCTATGAAATAAGATCTGCATTTTAGCTAGGGTTGATGGAGCAAGTAAATATCTCTCCACATATAACTACATAGCCCTTTCCTATCACCCAACTCTGGAAAAAAAAAAAATTGCCTCACATGTACAAGATCAGTTCCTTCAGCATATTCTCCAGGAGTGGGATGCTGTATTTTACAGAAAGCACTAGATTGCTTCTCAGAGGCCTGGGGCTGGTTTTGCTGCCATGAAGCTGCCCAACCTTGGGTAAGTTAATTAATCTTTTGCGGGGGGCCTAAATATCATCTGTAAAAGGATAATGTTGGGCTGACTGTATGATCTTTAAGGATCCTTTCAGGTTCTAAAGTTGAATGCTTTTTAAGGCTGGTTAAATGTAAATCATGAGTCAGCTCTGGCCTGGTCTCCTGTCACTACTTGATTACTGTAGTCAGGAGGTTCAGTAGCTCTTTTGTATACTATACAAATATTTGTATAGTATACAGATTTGTAATTTGTAGTAATATTATATTAAACTTCTTTGGCCTACTTGATAAATAACTGTAGCCACTGAGTGGGATCTTGGTGGCCTGAGAGTGTTAATGTATTGCCAGCATCACAGCCTTGTCTTGTCCAGAAAGTGGAAACAAGCAGAAACCTGGATAGTCCAAAAGTCATTTTATATTTAGCTTTGGAATTTGTTTTTGTTCATTCATTTGAATGTGGATGAGTCACAAATTGACTTCATACAAATTAATAAACTTTCATTGGAATGGATACTGTTGTTTGCTCCTCCTGCTCTTTTCTGATTCTCACTGCATGCTAAGCATGAATCATTTCTTCTTAAATGTAGCAGCTGAGGCAGAACTGTCCTTTTTGCTTTTTCCTAGAAAAGGACTGGTGATGGTGGGCTTGTAAGTCTTTACATCCTTTTAGAGTATAAACAGATAGAGAAAGTGAAATATTGAGAAGGCAGGTCAAAAGGAAAGTACCAAGTAGGTATTAAGTTGGAAATATGTTAGCAAATCAAACAGGAAGAATACAATAAATTCTGTTTGCAAACTTGCTGGTTTGCTGTTGGATACATTTTTATGGATAAATGAGAGCTGACTTTATAGGCATTGGGAAATACCCGAATCTTAACACATTGCAGATTTATGTATTATCTGAGTTAGGTTTGGGTAGTAAAAACATGGTTTGTCCATTAATTTAGGGCTACTTTTTAAATGCCTCTTCTACGTATTTAGGTATCTGTTTTCTTACTTAGATCATGTAATTAGTAACTGATTCTAATTTTTTGCCATAATACGTTTTTCATTATTTGTTACTCATGTTTATAGTTCACTACTGGAAAAATTCTTCCCTGATATCTGTTCTGAATTAGTTCTCTTTTCCGGTTATGTTTTCCTGTTTTATCAATTGTAGTGATGAGAATAGAAAGCCATATTTTAAAGATTTATATTGATACTTTTTAAGTTTAGTAAAATTATTAAATTTTACTCATTATTTCTAATTTCTGAAAATGATTGTCTTATTTTAAATTCATGCTAAGTCATTAGTTTCACTTTTTAAAAACAACAGGATAACCTGTATACAATTTGAAGTCCATTTACCATAGTTTCATGGCACTTTATAGTTGCCAGTTAACTTTTTAGCGACTTTTTATATTTAAATTTTTTGTGTGTGAGAAGCTTCTATTTATCTCAAAATCCTTTAAAATGCCTTTTTGTTTAAATTATCTTGGACATATTTATTTGGGAGGATGAATTTACTGAGCCCATGGAGCAGTTCTTGGCACAGAATAGGTGCTCTGTAAACATTTGATGAATGAATGAAAGCAGTTTTCAAGAAGCTTTATTCAAAATATTTTATTTTCTTTATCATAACCAGCCTTGTGGCCTTATTAACTTTTCTGAGAGAGTTTCACTCAGGGGTTCAGCATGAGAGAGCAGCAGAGAAGACCTGCTGTACATCA